GTTTAATTACTTCATCTTTGTTGATACATTTGTCTCCTCTAGAAAATTTTATAATTTTATGCTCTTGGTCTTCTTTTCTGATTTAGTCATTAAGTGTTGAGGTATGATGGATGTCTTCAGTCAGATTGTGCTTTCCAATTACAAACGTGAAAGATCTTATGTATATTTGTGTTTTAACCAATATATTTTGGGACCAGCATTGTTATTTTATTTATTCAGGTGCAAGCAGATGCAATTGATTCAGTGTGTTATATAGAATTTCTTCTTTATTCTTTACAAGACTGAACGAAAGTAAAATTTTCTTGCTGATCATCTAGTGTGTTGATATTTTTTGGTTTCTTTTATCTTAATTTCAGCATTTTCCGTGTATGTAATGGTGTGCAAATTCTGATTCATTTATAAGATAGCTACTTAGTTCTGCCATTTTATTATATAGCAAATAAATGGATATTCTCTCTAGACAGCTCAGGAACAATTGGCCACTGGTTTGTCTTGAGATGGCTACTTATTGCTTGCCATTGTTACTAGCACGGTGTAACACGTTTTGGAAAATTGTAATCTTACATCTTTTTGCTCTTCTTTTACAATCTTGATGCTCTAAAATTGGATGGATCGCCTTCTGAATCTACAAGATCCAAATTCCTTTGGATGTTCATTGCATAATGGACACCACTACAGAATTTTCTTGGTTATCTGCCTACCGAAATTGACTTTGTTCTTCCTGGCACTTTTGTGTGACTTCATTGTTCTCCATGGAAGAATACTTTGTGTATGGGCACAATCATGAAGTAACAGCATAGTTCTTGCAACTGTGTTATGGTGTGCTGTTGATCATAAATTACATTGAAAGATATAAATAATATTTCATATGATGAACCCAGCATGTCTTCTCCTTAAGAAATATTCATTAAGATACTTAAAAGAGTGTTTAGATGATGAGTTATATCTCCATTAGGTTCTCTTCTTTCACATCTTACAGTAGTCTTCATTACATGGATATTCTATAGAAATGTCAAACCAGGAGCTTATCAATGCTGGAACGAAGACAATGGACGAAACTGACCAGGCCATTGAACGCTCCAAACAGGTAAGTTAGTAATTTACAGTCTCAAAATGTACAATTTAATTGTTTCTAAACTTACTATTAATTGTAGGTTGTCCATCAAACAGTTGAAGTGGGAACTACAACTGCTACTACCTTGAAGGGCCAAGTGAGTGCACGCTGCTTTTACCCTTTTTAGTTGTCTAAAATTTTATTTTGTTTATTTATTTATTTATTTATTTTTTTGGGTGTCTAATCACTGAATCATCTTGAAATGTGTAGACTGAGCAAATGGGTCGTATTGTCAATGAACTGGACACAATCCATTTCTCCATCAAAAAGGCATCACAGCTCGTTAAGGAGATTGGCAGACAGGTATGGAAGTTGGCAATATCATCTCTGTTTATATATTTTGCTTGCTTAAAATCATTTGTACTCTTATGTACAAACTAATGTTGCATGCAATCACATCACTATATCTAATAATGATATTGTGCTTGTTTGAACTCCAAATATGAGTCTTCTTGGGACGAAGATGGTATTAATTTGTGTGAGACAGTAACTCTCATTATGTTATTTAGTAGCTTTATATGTTTCTTCCCTTTTATGTAATAAATTTCAAATCCACTTGTTTTCCAGGTGGCTACGGACAAGTGTATCATGCTTTTTCTTTTTCTGATTGTATGTGGAGTAATAGCCATAATTGTCGTGAAGGTATGCTCTTTTATATATATACTTCCAGAGTCATATGATAACCACTCTTTTCTGCTTTGAATGGCTAGGTTGATATCTATTGCATATTCAACAGGACAAATAATTAAAGTTGGGAAAACATTTTTAAAGTTGTCATTATACTACCAATTTATATACTATTATTGCATCTATCAATGTCTTCACTTCCCATATTTTAAATGTCCTCTAAATATGGTTGCTGCGCATTATATCGTGTACTATATGACACATTATATACACCCAAATGTCGGTAGTTGATAGTCTGTGATTTGTTATTTGATAGATTGTGAATCCCAACAACAAAAGTATAAGAGATATTCCGGGACTGGCTCCTCCAGCACCTCCCACCAGGAGATTGTTGTATGCGAAGACAGAGCAACATTTTTATTAACTTTCTCATCTCGGATCTCAGAGGGTTACTGTGTCATCGAATTTCGTTACGGGGCTGATATGGCAATGCTGCTATTTGTAACATCTGTTCAGTTTTTATGCTAATCCATTCTTGCTTGAGATATGCATTACTTGATGTAAATTATATATGTTGGGAGTCTCTTTTACTTTCAGATTTTATTCTTTTATTTTGGTTTTTTATGAATGCAATTTTTTCCCTGTAAACCTGAGTGGTTCTTAGAGCACTATTTAGATTGCACGAAATCTTCCGAGCCGTGTATCAAACTTGATGGGATTTTAATACAATTTGTATTTCTCGACTCCTCTATCTGGGTCATTGTAATTGTTAATTTTTTGGGGGTGGTTATGCTCTT